ACAGTGTCGGATACTTTATCAAGAACTTTAAAGAAGAGAAATTAAGAACTTTATTACAAAAGCAATCGTTAAAAACAAATAAAAAACACCATTTATCTAAAATAAAAAGTCAATCTTTTAATTTAGATCTTTGGTGTAAAGATTCTTCTAAATCATCAAGAATCTACATACTCAAAAAAATTAAAAAAATCATCTTTGACAAATTTCATTGTCTAACACATCTAGGTTTCAAAACCACCTTAAATATCAAAAATGGTTTCTTTTGGCCACATTTAACCAAGCAAGATAAATCATGGTATAAACTTGCATACCTTGCCAGTAAACTAAAATCCAAAGATACACAAAATCTCCACTTCAGAAATTTAATCTACCTACTGGTAGACTCGAACATATACACATAGATCTAATAGGTCCTTTTACTCCTTCATTAGGCTGTTCTTTTGTATTAACAGCCATAAATCGCTTCACTAGATGGCTGGAAACGTACCCAATACCTGACACTACGACATCTACTATAGCCGCAACAGTTCTCAAGATTTGGTATACCACACACTATCACACACAATCAAGGAAGGCAATTCGAGTCTCGATTATTTCGCCATTTCAATAGATTGATAGGATCTGATCAGATCCACACTTCAGCCTTTCAGTACTGGCATATTAGAAAGGTTTCATAGAACCCTTAAAACTGCCATTGCCGCCAGAGGAAACGGCTATAGGTGGAACAACGACCTCCCAATTATACTATTGGGCCTTAGATTTTCACTTAATGAAGATCTACCTTGTTCCCCCACAGAGTTAGTGTATGGTCAACCCCTCGCCTACCCGGAGAATTTATTATTACTTCACAGGATCATTTAGAAACGGAATCACTTCTAGTTAGTCTCAAAGAAACGTTTTCAAGTTTAAAACTAGTACCTACTACCTTCCATTCAAATATTACACCTTTCATTCATAAAGATTTATTTGTTTAAGACTTTGTTTTATTAAAATTAAATCATTTTAAACCTTCCCTTGCACCAAGGTTTGTAGGCCCTTTTAAAGTTATTAAACGCTTTCAAAAAAACTTTATTATTTTAAAAGATAACAAAGAATTATCAGTTGGTATTGATCGATTATCGCCAACATTTATAGCTAACGATAAACTTGAAATTGCTTCTAATCAAAATTCAATTCCAAATAAATCTTTAAGGATACGTTTTCAAAATTAAAATATTTATAACTAATTAATTTACATTTTATTGTTGACCTTATTTCTTCTTGGAAGGGAGAGAATTTGTAGCGTGATGTCTGCAAAGTCCATTCCCTAAATCCAAGATGCCACAATGTATTTTTCCTATTTTCAAATAAAAATATATCTTGGCAACGAAAGTTTATTATATAAAATATTCATTCATTCCTTTCAATAAATTCATTGCAATTCATCGATTTAACACATACGTCAAAAGCGTATTACTAATTTATTTTTTAATTAAATTTTAACGATTATGATGGGAAAGTAAAACGCAAGTAAAAAGTTATTTACTTCCCCACAGACCTATAACTTAAATTACTGGCAAGTATAAACATATAAATGGTGTTCTAACTTTATTACTTATCTAGAATTCCGGTGGGCGATTATTTGTTTCAGTATTGGCATTTAGAGGTCCTCGTAGATTACAGGATTGGTCTTTTTTGAGGTTTTCATATTAGTTTATTTAATAATGCTTTAATAAAACCATAAATAAATCGCTCTACAACCAAACAATATTTAAAAGTAAAATTACACTAAAAAGCAATAAGCATTTGAAGGAGGATCCATTTGATAGGAAACTACCAGCGTTTCCTGAATAAACTCGTTATGAGCAACTGTTGTTGTATAGAATTTGAATTAAGCACATTCTGTAAAAGTTTAGCAAAGATACTTCCTTTTTCTAGTTAGTTTCTTACCAAAGTACGCATTTCTTCCTTATAGCTATATTTGTAGGTTGTTGCTGTTTTAATGTTATTTCAAGAAGTTTTTAGTATTTGTGTTCGTATGTATCGTATGTAATACGTCTTTCAATTATCGTGAAGGACTATTTAATATTGTAGTGTGCCATGTAAAATTGTTTCAAATGATTTATTATAAAATTTACAAAACAACAAAAACAAATTGATAAATGTACAATTCACAGATTAGACACCCAAACAACCCATTCCACAACGTAAGAAACAAGACCTTATACGAAATGACTGGTATTGAACCTATAAGACTAAGACTAGACAGACTACGGAAGAAATTTTTAGGCAACAGAAACAATTATGAAAAAATACATAAATTATGTTTAAAGAGACAAGCATCACAGATGGAAGTTGATCAGAGGAAGACAATATCGGAACTTTTTTCATAAATACTTAGCTGATAATGAATAATAATATTGTTAAAATTTTTTGTTGTAATTATAGCCAGCGGAAAGACCATTAAAATTATGTTTTAAATTCAAATATTGTACATAATATAAATACCAATTATAGTACAATAAATATATGTAGTTTTAACTCCGTAGTGATGGTTTCAGGTGATTTGCTCATAGTTCCTTAGTTTGCTTTTCTCTTTAATCATATTGAGTATTACGTGTTACGTTAGGCGTTACTTGAGAAGCAGATTTCCACGCAGCTTTTTGGATTGTTAATATCAAAAGTTATACAGCTTGTTCAGTACAACCACTACTCTTGAGAGGAAGGTTTAATTTAATGTTTTCAGATATTAACTGTTTATACAAAAAGCAATTAGTTTTTTATTTGTTATAGCAGTGATTTGGTCGGAAGGTGCAAAATTATTAAAAAAAAGTACAATTTTATGAAAAAAATTATTTGTAGGCATAAATTAATGTGTATTATTGTTAATTAAAACACTAATTGTTAATTAGTGTTTTATTTCTAAAACAACATATGTATTACACGTTTATTTTTATTTGATTACATAGCACCATCTAGGAGTAGATTGCCAATATAGAATGTTTGTCGTAACCTTCATTTAAAGCAACCTCTTTTACGTATTCTTGTCATTGCTAAAAATTATCTCTTGTTCTAACACTTATCTCCTTTTATATTATGAGTAGTAAATGAAATTTTGGCCCCTCGTGATTTTTTTGTGTTTGTAATAGAAGATGTTGCATTATAAAACAGTATTTAATACGAATTTAATAATTTTTTTCCATTTATAAAACATTTAATCTATAAATAACTGAACAGATCTTTATTTAACACAACTGTAATTAAACTGTTAAATAGAAATATATTGGTACTGTCAGAGACAACCTTGGGGAAAGTGATAAATTATTCGAAATCGGGGTTATATTATAATATTAATTATATTTAATATTTCAAATACATGTCTTTTGCAAACAATCTCGCAATAAACAACGCGGAAACCTTTTATCACGTAGCTTTACTAAAACTGAGAAATATTTAGAAACGTTTTAATAACCGTTGATAAAGCATGATGTATAAAATACTATAAACTATACGCATAAATTTGGGGATTTATACCTCATGAAAAAAATGACTAATAGGTGAAAAAATTGTTGTAAAAGTTTCTTAGTTTCCTAGATATCTGATATATGCGGCCACATCTAGATAATGTGTTGTCCAGAAGATGGATAAACTTCGACTTGTCCAATGGTATGGACAAGTCGATCGTCCAACCTCAATCTTCTTGATTTTTATTTTTGTATCACTTCAAAAACGCCCTGGTTTAGGCCGCGCTAGTGGAAAATGGTGGGTTCGGCGAGCCCAATTGTGTATAGAAACTATGAGAAAGAACTTCGATCACTTGCTGTGATGTTATTTTAAAACGTTTTATGTATTCTTGATTTGAAAATAAGTTTCACGGATATCTAGGAATCTAAAAAACTTTTGCTACAACTTTTTCACCTATTAATCATTATTTGTCATGAGGAATAAATCCCCAAGTTTATACGCATAAGTTGAGAATCACTCTGTATATCTAGTAAATCTGAATTTTTAAACAAATACCGGTTTTTTTAAAACTAATTGGCGCCAGAAATGATCAAACACGAGCAAAATTCGTAAGAAATTGATACAAAAATATATTATAAACAAAATTGTCTTTACAACTAATAATTGATAGATACCTAATAGATAATTAATATAGGATATTAATATAAGACAATATAATATACAGTGTACAATATGCAACTAATATCACAGTATTTATTTTATAATACGCGATTTGCGCATTGCAATACCTATACTGTGATATTGGTTGCATATTTGCAATGATAACGTCGGGTACCATAATTAATTAACACACTGTATGTGTGTAAGCATTCGGGATGGTAAGAATAATCAGTCTTAATACTTATGATGAAGTCTGTGAATGAATCTATCTTTTTAACTTAAAAGGTAGTAATTTGTATATTTCATGTTAAGTATATTACGCACTCTTACCGCCAATTATTATTAGATACTCCACGGAAAAGCTGTCGAAATCATTTTATACAGGAACTCTATAGGCCGAAATTGAAAAAAAAATCGTAGATAAAATTGTCTTCATACCCAAAGCATATAGTCCCCTTTCGTGACTTAGGAATATGAATGACAACAAGGAACTTGCGCACCATCCTCAGAGCTGAAGGGCTGAGAAACCTTTTCATGGAACTCCATAGTGTGAGGTCGTAGTGCTAGTATTATAGGAAGTAAGGTGGAGAGTTCCAGGAGATTGCAGGAAGATGCACTACGAGTCAATAAGGCGACGACCAATGAAACGAACGAGATGAAGAAGTCATTTAGTTTTATAACGTTGAGAACCACTGCTCTATAGCAAGTTGCAACTTTTTAAGAACTTGTCCGATATTACTGACACCTTCACATTATTTTGAAAATTTTGTGATAGTGTTTGGGTACCAACAAGTTTTAAATAAAAAAAATATGAAAATAAATAACACGTAAATAAATAAATAGAATATCAGGGTTATGAAATAAAATTAGATAATAAGTATATTAACTTTATTTAAAAAAACATCTCAATTTAATAAATACAAGTTATACAAAAAGAAAACGTTTACAATTAAAAAATACTATAGAGAGAAAAGAGACAGAGAGAAAAGTTAAGTAATCAATTCTTTTAAATATCTTGTACACATATTATTTAAGTAAAGATTCGTTAAATTATCACTTCACCTCTCCTCTGAGCAAGTCAAAGATCTATGGGAATCTTCCTAAGGAAAATAAAATGATCAAAACATATTTATTAATAAATGATTAATAAATTACTTTTAAATCCAACATAGGAACCCTCATTTTTGGTTTAAATCCATTTTCACAATTTACTTGATCCTTATGACGGGCATTTCTTATTGCGTACCCTTCGTATCTAAAACTCTCTTCAGGTAAAAATCTGTGAATAACCGGACTTATTAAATCCGGATCCATAAATTTTAAATCTCGTTTTCCAGAAATTAAACTAACTAGAGAACCTACTAATAATACTGTTACAACTCCAATTGGTGTTATCCAATGGTAAGAAAGTCGGTGTAATGGAAATACGTTTGATTCGTCATGGTAAACCTAAATATTATTTATATTAATCGTATACAATTATATTTTTTTTAAATTTTACCGTGGAAGTTGTGTTATTAACAATAATTCCATATGATTCTTCACAACCATATGTGGCCACAGGAAGTCTTTTTGGGATAATCAAACCAGCAGCTCCAGCATATTGGCTTCCAAAACTCACCCAACCCGACAATACAAATCCACTAATTGCACCCACAACAGCACCCGTTGAATTTGACCACGGAATTAACATCCCCAAAGTAAAAACACCAAAAGTTGTTCCCGCTGCAATTGCAGATAAAGAAGTTGCCATCTAAAAACATCAAATTAAAATTTAAAAATAACCAAAGATAATCAAAAAAAAAAAATTTATACCGCAAGAACTCCTCCTAAATGTTCAACAACGTACAAAAAAGCTAAAGCAACAACTCCTAATACAAAAGCAACGACTTTAACAAAAATCGTTGCTGTTTCTTCTTTTAATTTGAGATTAATACATCCTTTAACAAAATCTTCTAGAAAAACAGTCGAAGTGGAATTTAAAATAACCGAAAGTGAACTTAAAGCGGCTCCAAAAACCCCCGCAATAAATAATCCTGGGATTCCCCGAAGATGTCCAGCTGTTTCCATCACGAACATAGGTAATAATTGATCATCAGCGTGGATTCTTCCAGCTTTTAAAGGATCACAATCGGAATAAGTCGCATAAATTATTAATCCCGCATAACAACAAGCCGAGACGAAAGCTGATACTCCAATTGCAAAAATTAAAATTGAACTAAAACAAAATAACAAATCGAAGTATTAATTTTGATTTGACATTTTTTACTTACGTTTGAGCTTTTCTTATTGAAGGTACAGATAAGTAGCGTTGAACCATCGTTTGATTGACCGCATTGAACGACGTCCAATAGAAAACGCCCCCTATTATCACAGAAAACACTGTATGTCGTTCGTACATACTCGTGTTAAAACTAAAATATTTTAATGTAGGGACACTTTGAAAGATGGGAAAATATTTACTTACTTTAAGAATATTAATCGACTCGATGCCGTATCCCATACTTTTGCCACACCTCCGTATGAAATTGTACCCAAAATGATCACTACCATAACGGAAATAAACATCACTATGATTTGCCATGTATCTGTCCATACAACTGCTTTTAAACCACCCTGTATAATAAAAAAATGTTTATAAAAAATTTAATTATTTCAATTGAAAGGTACAAAACAAAAATGTGGTAACATCTTGTAGGAATTATAGGATACTGCAACGCCTGATAGAAAGAAGTTAGACAGGAATTTTATTGCATGTGTTTATTGTATTTTATTAATTGGTCATAAAGAACAAGAAGGTTACATCTCAAAAATAGAATATAAGAAATTATTTTTATTATCTTTATTGTGAAAATCGCGTAATGGTAATGGTGACTAACATTAAACACGAAAAATGTTCGTTCCTGTTGAAGAAATTAACAAATTAATAAAGAGACAAAGTCTTCTTCTTTGAATTTTTTTAAACGTGTAGCAAAAAACCCACAGGCTTAGTCAGCCTCACTAAAACCACAACATTTTTTTCCCGATCTGTGGATGAAGAGGCACAAAAGGTGTCGCGGCATTCGACAGTCTATTTCAAACAAAACAAAGAACATTGAACTTGTTAGAGTTCGCTAAGTGACACCTGTGTAAGTTATTGGAGAACGACGTACCTTTCGTATCCATCATCCGCAAGGGTCGGAACAAATCAAGAGTCCTTGAAGAAAATGTATAGTTCAATAGGTCAGTAAAGAAGAAATAACACACACTCTTTACGAAGGGAAGTTGAAATGGTCAGCTGATCTGTTGAGCATCATCAGCAGCTTTTATCCCTGGAAGGGTGCTCAAAATGGTTGTAGAGAAGGATATTCCCCTCGGAGAGATTATAGTGATGTAAAAAACCTTCTGCAGCCATTAATAAAGCTGCCTTTATCGTCCAAAAGTACACCAAGGTACTTCACACTTTCCTCAAACTTTATAGCTAACAACGGAGGTTGTATTTAACAATGGACATCTTAAAGTTGACCTTCAATTACAACGCTGTTGTCATATTTACTGCCACTGTCATTCGGGATTCTAGCATTCTATCTCGAAGTTTAAAGCTCTCTAACTCCATTCAAGCTCTTATAAGAGACACGCTGGTTTCGATTGAAAAGTAAGTAGGATGTGCCCTTCTAGATAACAACTTTATTAATGCCTGAGAAAAAAAGCGGATGAATATCGTTTTCATGCATGAACCATAAGTCGCGCGGGGGTTAATCCAAAGACGTGTTTACTTATCAAAAAGAATATTCTTTCTGATTACAGGCTATTGCGCCGTCATTGCTTCTTCACGACATTCAAAGTCCAAGTTGAAAGGGGCTGGACAAAAGGGGCTGTATGTTCAACATTCCTCTTCGGATAAGAGTTCGATCCTCTTCCTCGAGGTGCTAATCAGATGCGATATTAACGCGCATCACTCGTTATAGAGACCAGCACCTACGACAATGACAGACGTGTGTGTCTCTTTGAACACTCATTGGGTGAAAGTCTTGCAGAGATTTTATATACATATAACGTTAACTCAATTTATTACCATATTGAGCATAAGAAACACTCATGAGGTCAAGTGCCATCATGCTAAACTAGATATAACGAAATACACGGGGTACCAGCTGGTCTTGTGTTATCGCTATTGTAACAAATTGTAATCAGATTGACATAGCCACGGAGTGAGTATATGTGGCATAGATTACGTTTGTCTGATCACAAAAGCAATTGTTGCCTACATTAAATGTAGGGCTCCAAAAAAAAAGTTCACTACATTTTTTACAGGCCGAAAATATTGGGCGAATGAGAGCCACACACAGACGGTCTATCGAATTATAACAAGAACACCACTTCCTCCGGGCTATCTTTTAATACTTATTCACTTCCCTGGGGTAACGTTGCTAGCATGGACTTTTCCTGTACAACGAAATGTTCATGCCAATTAGATTGATACGTGGCCATAAACCTACTTTCCTGTTGACCGGGTGACTGATTTGTTCAAATCATTCAAAGCGCTTCAAGAGGATGAAATCTTTTTCAAAAACACTAATATTACTTGTTTTGGCAATAATTATCAGAGTGTGAGACGGGATATGCTGTCTCCACTATATCAATGCCTTCCTTCTCATTAGTTTTACTTCATTTCTAGTGAAAACGTTTTGGAAGGCACTGAAACGATATACCTAGCAGGAATGTCAATTGAACTAGTTCTATACACTCTTTAATATTGGACAAGCTGAGGATCAAACTTGTCGGTTGCAACGACGAGCAGAAACCGCTTGACTTATTCTGAGTGAATGCGTCGCCAGAGGCCGCCTAAGACACAAAATTTTCGGAAAGGTTCGCCTGACACCTACTGACAAAAAAGAACAAAACCTTAGAGCAATACAAAGGTTTATCAAGCACCTAGATTTGCCCTAAACCTTTGAAGGGCTTAAGTTACAATAGATCTTGCGGGTCGCGGTAGTACCCTCCAGTGAGTACAGCATCCAGATCGTATAGTCAGAAAGAAATCTTTTATGCCTTCTTAAACATCCTAAAAGCATTTAATGACACAATACCACAATCTCCGAAAAGTGAAGCCTTTGATAGAGTGTTGATTAACCATAACGTTTGGATCCGTAAAATGATTAATACTATTTGCGGATGTTGCAAATTTATGACAGATTAAAATAAGCACACTTGTTAAATTGTGTCCAATCTTCCAAGAAGAACAACAAAAATGAAGTAACCTTTAATTTCATTTTACTGCTGTTGCAAATAATGAAACGGTTTGTAAAACCAGTTTTTTCAGTGTCCAAAGTTTTCTATGCCTTAATGTACGTATTTATCAAGGACGGTAAAGTCTAAAAAGACTTCTTAAATAGACCTGTACATGACGTTACGCGTGGCCAATTACTATTTCACGCTTTAAATTAGCAAATGGTTAACAATTAAAAGTAGAGTTAACACTAGAACTAAGACTAGAAACTAGAAACATTTGGGTTTAGCCGTGTGTCTCTCAAAACGGCTAAAACTCAAATGTTTCTAGGTCTAGTGTTAGTTTTACTTTTAGTTCAATAAAAATATACAATAATCTAGCATTGAATAACAATTAAAACTAGAACTAACACTAGACCTAGAAGTAGAATGTTTCGGGGAAATCGTAAAAATAATGAAGCACAGCACCCCTGCTACACTTTCTTGATCAAAGCTAACAAGAAATCATTCATTCCTACGCGACGTCAAATCCGTAAGGATCCTACTGTAAGTGGTGTGGCACTGGCTACAACAGTCTTGAACAGGTCTTTGGTGTTCGTGTTAACCTTTAACGGAGCGAAATTATATTAAAAACTTTTTTTTGTTTTAAAAACCGGTATGCTATTAGAAAATCATTTATAACTATGATTAATATACGAACACGGTTTGCATTTGCAAAAAATGCCCAAATAAGGATTTAAACTTCTGGAAAATGGTAATTTTTACAGATGAGACTAACCTCAATATAAAAATATCGACTAGACGAGTATCAATTTGGCGAGAGAAAAACAAGAGCCTATATCCACATAATCTGATACCTATGATATCTTTATAGATGGAATATTGGCTGCGTAGGGGTGTACATTTTGAAAAAAAAATTGCAATGTAACAATTGAGATGTTTACGAGATTTTATCTTTCAACAGGATAATGATTCGAAGCATACCGCGATAGATTTTGGACTTTGGATCGTGTACAGGGTGGGCTAAATTAGGTACTTTTAAAAGGAAACTCCTATTTCTATAAGAGATACAAGAAAAATGATATCAGTGTCTGAGTCTCGATTTTTTATAAGAAACTTAATGGCGAAAATCGCATATCGATATCTCTTACGGTTTCAGAGATACAGCGTGTTTTTCAAAAAAGTGCAGTTTCGAAAAGTCGTCAAAACTTTTTTCTTATTGATAAATCTTCTTTTCTGTGAAAACATTTCCAAAACAACTTTTTAGATACAATTCGATGGAATAAGTTAGCTTTCCCTCAAAGCAATATTTTAGCAGTTATTGACATAAAAATGATTTTTTTAAATGGAACATCCTATATATTTTTGCAAATTCGCCGAGAGCATAAAATTTCCTTCCCAAAAATATAGCACACTTGACATTTTCTTCAAGTCTTCTTTGAAATATACAACTTTAAAGCTTATATGTGCAGATTTTGAAAAAGTTGGCTTTGGAAATCAAAGAGAAACGAGATTATATTTATAAGTAGTCTCAAGATAGTTGGTTACAACAAAAAGCAGATTAAATTAATAAAACTTATCTTATTATAAAACAAGAATAAATATATGGCAACAAATAACAACAATAGTAAACCCTGCTACATCTTTTTTTAGCCCTTTTTGCCGAGTTGATAAGCTCAATGGGGCTAAGTGTTGCAAAAGGAAAAAATCCATAGGTGTTAGGTCCGGTGACCAAGCCGCCCAGCGAATAGAACCTTGATGATGACCTTGATGAGCAGCATTGTGAGGCGATGCACCATCATGTTGAAAAAATACATTTCGCAGGTGCGCCAGAGGTAAATCGTCAACAACAGATTCGATTTGTTGCCTAAATATATTCAAATATTTTATTTCTGCTGTGCACCAGCACTACTCACATACGCTTCATCTGTCCAAATACAATTTAAAGAAAAATTACGTGCTTCATCACATTTTCCCAAGAGCCATTGGCAAAAATTCATTCGCCGTTCAAGATCTCCTGGTCTGAGGTAATGGACTTTGCTAGTTCTGTATGGGTCAAATCTGAATTTTTTTCAAAATCCGCCTAGCTTTGGTTCTTGGAATTCCCGTGGTTACACTCAATTACCGCGTTGATATCTGCGGATTATTTTCCATTGCCCCTAAAACTACTACTTCTAATTCCCCGTCTTCATTCGGTATATAAGTTTTTGATCTTTTCTTTTCGAATTGGCCGCTAGTTTGTAGATTATATCACAATCTTCTAAAAATATAAAAGTTAAAAGGTTGCCGCCTCTATGGATATCGTTCTGATATAAATTTCCTGCAGTCTCTGCATTCTCCCCAGATTGTATAAAACATACTATCATGTCCCATTTTTCATAATTTTTATATGACATTATTTTGAAGGTTAATGAGTACTAAGTAATACTCTAACGATAAGCACTAACACTTACAGCTTGAATCAAAATTTGACAGATAGATACTTATATACAATGCATTTCTTTTATCAAAACGCTGTCAAAACCCACTAGCCTACTAGTACGCAATTGAAACTCTTAAAAGTTTCCAAGTTTTATATTTCAAAGAAGACTTGAACGAGATATCAAGTGTGCTATATTTTTGGAAAGGAAATTTTATGCTCTCGTCGCATTTGCACAAATATATAGGGTATTCCATTCAAAAAGATTATTTTTATGTCAATAACTACTAAAATATTGCTTTGAGGGAAAGCTAACTTATTCCATCGAATTCTAAGAAGATTTATTAATAAGAAAAACGTTATGACGATTTTTCAAAATGCACTTTTTTGAAAAATACCTTGTATCTCTGAAACCGTAAGACACATCGATATGCGGTTTTCGTCATTAAGTTTCTTATAAAAATCGAGCCTCAGACACTGATATCATTTTTCCTCTCTCTTTTATAGAAAGAGGAGTTTCCCTTTAAAAGTGTCCAATTTGTCCCACCCTGTACAACTGTTCAGCACTTCAAAACACCATCACAAAGCCCAGCTCTCAATCCTAGTGTCAATATTCAAGAAGAAATTGAAATATTACGACATTGGAAACGTAAAGATTTTATTTTAAACGTTTTGGATAATTATATTAATTACTTGCCCAACTGAAGCTATCATATGGAATCTACCCAGAATCTACCTAGAATCCCCAGCTACCCAAAATTACTTTATTATAGTTTTCTAAAACAAAAACGACAACGAAATTAAGAGATTTATTATAAAAACCCCAATTTATTTCTTTTAGAACAGATGCATACACATTTATTACCAATGGATTGGTGTTATTGCACATTATATTACTGAAGATTAGAAATTTTATGCTCGATTCTTGAATCTTTTAGTACCGATTAAAGTCGTACATTGCAATACCTACTACAAGACACGAAACAGGTTGTAACAACATGGAGAATTACAAGAAAAATGTATGTGATTACCTATGTAATGTTAGCAATGTTCTTAATTCAATCAAGGAATGTGGGTGGTCCGTAAGGGCTACCTTAAATTTAGTAGTGCAAGGATTGAAACATAGAGAATAGCGATGGGCCAACTCGGGTTTTCGCCAAACCGAGTTAACCGAGTTTAAAATTTGCGTAAACCGAGTTCAAACCGAGTTAGTAGCAAAAATCTAAAACCTGTAAATACACAAACCGCGCACTGGTTTGAATTGATGGATGCGTAAGTCAATAAAAAAATACCCGCTTTACAAAACAGTCTTTCGGGTGGTACCGAAGTCGCTGGTATGCAGAGGTAATTATGTGCTATTTTAGCTAGCTTCGGAAATAGACATTTTTTTACTCCAGAATTGGAGGGGATCTTTTTTTCTGTCTATGTATCTATTGTATATATTCAATATATAGTTTTATCATCGTGGCTGCTGAACAAGTTGTAGTGGAGTTGCACTTCTCGACGGTTTCTGATATTTTTCGGTCTATAACACCCCAAACATCATCTTCAATAGTAGAAGTACAAGCAGCGCTAAAAATAGTAGATGTAGAAGTTTGGTCGGTTGAGTTCAAGGTTTCCGTTGATAAGTAGTCGTTTAGTATATTTGTTTTCAATCCACATTTGCGCATTGTTAGCGTTGCTTTCTGAACTAAATGCTGATTTTTTTATATCGTGGATCTAGAATAGTAGCTTTTGCTGCTGTTCTATTAATTTGATAAACCCCATGTCGTGTCTTTGTTATAACAGCACGAGTTTTTTGTAAGTGCTTGTCTGTCTGTGTCACTGAAGTTTTGTTATTTATGGTATGTCGTAGACCGAATACAAGAGCTATAACAGATGATAGCGATGGATACTTTTCCCCGGATAAAACTGCAGTTACCTTTTCAAACGGGTGTAAGAACGCCACTATGTCTTCAGCAAATAACCACTCTTCAGAATCCAGTGCGTTTGAGCACATGGGAAGTAGGTACTGTCCCAGCGAGTGCGGTACATCTTGCTTTAATTTGATTACATCCAAATTCATTTGCTTCTGCATGAGGACCAAAGCATATGAAGATTTTGTGCTATGTTTAAAATGTGAAACAATCGCTCGGAATTTATTTATTACTTGCAATAACTGATTATTATTAACAGTGGTATCTCCTAAATCAATTCCATCTTTTTCTATACCGTCTTTCACAGCAAGATTAAGAGTGTGGACTACACAGAAATGGTTTTCCTTATTTAAAATTTCACTAACTGCTTTTTTCATTGAAGAAGCTGCATTGGCTGTAACTATAGTCACTATTTTAGAACTTATCTGCCACTCGTCCAATATTTGTTGAATAACATTAAAAATAGCTATTGATTGCAATTTTTGTTTCTTCTATAAAATGGGCACTAATGAAATTTTTATTACTGTCTGACGTCCAAATATCTGATATCAAAGCAATATGTTCAACGTCCTGCAATTTTTCCTTACGAGTTGTAGACTCAATGTTATACTTTTCTTCCAACATCTGAGTCAATTTTTTCCTCGAAGGCAGTTCATAATCGGTTTTTAATATTTTGGTGTATTTGCGCAAACCTTTATTTCCACATTTCTGCATTTTTTTTGCAGAACATGGTATGGTTAAGCGAGTTTGCTTGAATCGTTTTATTCGAGGTCCAACATCAAGAGATGAAGAAGAAGCCGGTGGTAGCGACAAAGGCGGTTTGATTAAAATGTTCTTTTCAGTTTGATTTAAGGACGATGTTAACCCGCAAGCACAGTATCACTGGTGGTCGCGCAAAATGTAAACCTAACTCGAGTTAGTAACAGTCTAACTCGAATTGACTTGAAATAACCTCAACTCGAGTTAATCCGGTTTGATAAATCGAGTTGACCCATCTCTAATAGAGAGTATGTATAGTCAACAAAATGTTAAAAAAATTGTTCAGCACTTAGAAAGTACTTGTAAGGAGTACTCTTTTTGAAAATAACGGATAGCTAAAATACTGACAAGTTAGAAAACTTTAAATCACTATTATTTACATTTTGCAACAATTTGATAATTAATTTGTCTTCTAATGCAAATTTGAAAAGACGGCAAGTAAAGAAAGGGAACTTGGAAATGGATTTACAAAATAGAAGTCCTAAACATATTCAACAATAATAACAGCAAAAATTTGTATTTAATTAATTGTAATAACGTTGATTATTTAAAATGTAGTAGCTCAAATAAAATCTATGTGTAAATACAAGATCTACATGTAAATATAATAATAAAACTGGTCATTAAGATTAGTATTTTGCATCAAAATTAGAATCACAGATTTCAAAACGTATTAAAAGTAGAACAGAGGAATCTTACCAAGTGATATAAAATCTGATCAATGGATAGTAATGCCAGTGTGACGTGAAAAAGGAAAATATAGCTGTGATTTCGTTTTGTAACACTACAATCGCTCTTCTAATTTTTAATTATTGGCATATATCCTTCTCTCTCTGTGCTTACCAATTAAAAGCTGATTTGTAAGAAATATAATCTTACTTTTAATAAATTGTAAACAAATTTTTTAAACACAGCAAATATTTTTTTCAAGGTTAATACTTACATATTATTCTATTATTTGCAAAAAAATAATAGAACAATTGCTACTTATATCTAATAACCATGTTTTTCATGTTTACTTACTTTATTCTTTATAAATAATTAGCAACACCATTAACAGTGATTAAAAAATACCACTGAAACCTTTTAAAATAAAATTCAAAGTAGAAATAATAATAATCATGAATCACAAAGGGTCACTTTTTTTAAGAGCACTTTCAAAATCAAACGGTTGAAATTTTCTGGACCCGATTTTCACTTCATCATTATCGCCGGACTTGGCCCCGTTTCAAATACAAAGCATTGCTCGCCCGCGTCTATTTACGTTCCGAAAAGTATATCTAAATTCGTTACTAATACACAGTCACTCAAAATTTAATCTAACAAAATGTTCAAAAACTTACCAGTACAGTATAAAAAATGCAAACAACGCAAACGATCGTCCCAATCAAATGGATATCGATTCCAGTTACTTGGTTAAACGCCAAAGACGGCACGTAAATGAGAATCGGAAGGAACATTATCTGAAAAAAGTCTTGAAAATTAATAAATAAATGAAAATTTTTCTGTTAAAGTTGGTTTACCTCGTCTAAAACGAATAGTACTGAAGCGACCGTTCTAACATATTTGTTGAATCTTAATTCTAAATACTTTTGGAAATTAAAGAGAACAAATTAATAACGATTACAAGAAATATATTGGAAGATTTTTACCTCGTATGATGAATGTACATGGAGTTTTGAAAATACTGGAAGATAAACGAATGCCACAATGGCACTGCTCACTATAACAGCAACCACAATCAACCAATATTGAGCACCAAAATTATATATTTCAGCGGGGGTACCTAAAATTGTTACACCAGATATGTAACTAAAAAGAAAAAAATGTATTAAGAATGATATCTACTACAAAACCTTTTGCTTAGAGATATGAATGAAAATATTAATTCTATTTATGTTGTAAGCATGGCCAACAAATTTTATAGCAAGTGTAGCCTAGGAACATCTAATGACTTTAGAGATTTCATAGTTTTATATTTTTTAGTGGGCATAAAATGCTAATAACATTTTTTATTAAGTAACACCACATTAAAGTATTTAAAATTTTAACGGTTTTAAGTATTTTAAATTAACTTCATATAATTAAAATATTGCTTAATTATGGCGACTTCAAAGACTTTTTTAACTGTGCTAATTTCGTTATTAGAAGTGCTCTTATCTACTTGTTTAAGATTTATGCTACTTCAAAATTATCATTACTTTAAAAATATACTGACAATAAAGAATCTCTACTTAGTTTTTTTTTTGGAATCACGCTCATAAACTTATTTCTCAAACTTTGTTGTTGGAACAGCTTACAACACTGCACTTGATGATTTATTAAAAATTTTTGAAATATAAGAATTAAATTTATCCCTTGGCAGCAGAACTTTTTTGAAATTTAGAGAAACACCAAATAAAGAAAAACGGAGAAAAAACAAAACAAACCATAAATAATTTAATGACTAGTTAATTAGTATTGTAAGCAATGTGATCCATTTTAGATTAGTTATGGAATGATGATATATGCAATTAAAAACTAGTTGCTTTCAGTCTTTAATAAAAATTGTGCACCACTTCTAACTTCCCAGGTTTTGGGCAAGTGTCAGGATCTTAAGTTAAGATCACTTTATTGTTGATTCGATGATTCTAACCGATTCTGTAAAATAACTATATTGCCTGGGTGATGGGAACATTAAACACTTATAAGATTAGAATCTTGGCTAGAGGCAAGTTTCGATACTGCTTCAATCTGAGTATATTAAAGTTGCATGATGCTCTCGTGAAAATCATTGATGATAGAAACAAAACAAGATTATTGTTGTTATTAGAGTTGTGGACGGCTACAAGCAGATTAGGTTATATCGACTGGATTAGACCTTTATAAAATTCGGGTACTGAATAAGTATAAAGAATTAATATTAGGAACAGGTTGTTCTTAAACTTGTGGACCATTTGTTATGTATTCACAATAACGTAAAGAATTTCCACATACATTTTGACAACCTTTTGTACAGTGCATTTAAAAGTATATTAAACTCTAAAAGCTGACCAATATTCAATTTATTTTTAATGTTTCGTCAAAAAAAGAAAAATATGCAAATCTATATGTTAGTCTCAATTGACCTTTCAATAAATAGATATAGTTTCGAATAGTCACTTCGCAGCTTGATATATTACTTATTTTTGAATTTACGCAATCGCCCCGAGGAAGCTCCCGAAAGAGGAAATCATCTGCGAAGTGGAAGCGGCTGTTCAAGGGATGCCTGCACTAAAACCTGAAGAGATCCGACAAGAAGTTGCGAGAGTAGTGAAGTCAGCAAAATCACTGAAATCCAACTTGACGGTTGGTGAAAAGAAGGCACTGTGGCCTATTAAAGAAAAGCCAGAAATCGTCGTGTTACAAGCAGACAAGAGGAATGCCACCGTTGTTATGGATCAGAAAGAATATGACGACAAAATGAGGAACCTACTGGACCCAGCCACCTACAGGGAGATCAAGAAGAACCCCACGGACAGAATCGTAAAGAAAGTGAAGGACCTGATAAAATCCACAGAAATTCCAGCAGAACAGCAGAAAGGATTATTTGTGCAGACGCCGGTACCACCAAGAATTTATAGATTACCGAAGATTCATAAACCAGACGTCCCCCTCCGCCCTATCGTCTGTGCCATCAACTTTCCAACATACCAGTTGGCCAAATATCTCGCAACGATTCTGTCTCCTTTTACAGGGAACACTGAATCATATGTCAAAGATTCTACACATTTTGTGGAATCGGTAAAAGGTATAAAGCTAGATGGTGAGGATATTTTGGTAAGTTTCGATGTTGAGTTTCTTTTTACCAGGGTACCAGTTAAGGATGCTGTGGATGGCCTCCACCAGATCTAGTGGCGTAGGGTTTATCGTCGACGTATTTCAGCTGGAAAGGTGAATTTTACGAACAGTTCGAAGGGGCAGCCATGGGATTTCCATTATCGCCAGTTATAGCTAATTTCTACATGGAATTATTAGAAGACGCTTTGAAGAAGAGCCAGTGGAAATCAAAACTATGGCTCCGATATGTGGATGATACGTTTCCAATATGGCAATATGGTAAAAAACGGCTCCAAGAGTTCTTGGATCACTTGAACGCTCAACATCCGATGATTAAGTTTACCATGGAAACAGAAACTGTCAAAAAACATCATCCACAACAGAAGAGGTCCATGATCCGTACTTTATTTCCACGAGCAGCGAGAATATGTGAAGGAGATAACTTGAAAAAGGAGCAACACTTTCTATGAGGCGTGCTATAGAAGAATGGATACAGTTCGAGGGACATCAACTGGGCCATCAAGCAGCGAAAGCAGACAGAGGACGCGGTAAGTACAAAACCACTTGGATTTATCTGTCTTCCCTATGTTTCAGGTGTGATGGAACGAATTGCCAAGCACCTCAGGAAAAACGAGATCGTGGTGCGATACGGGACGGTCAGCAAAATTCGGAACACACTCCCGATAACCAAGGACAAGCTAACTCAATTAAAAGGAGCGAGAGTCTACCGACTATCGTGTAGTTGTGGGAAGGTTTACGTTGGCCAAACTGGATGCAACGTCGAGTGCCGCATCAAAGAGCATGAAAGGGTGTAAGGTTGAAGAAAATCCAGCAGTCGGCGGTTGCGGAACATTGCCATGCAGAGGGACACCGAATAGACTTCAAACAAACAAGAGTACTGGCTAAGGACAATAGATATTACCAAAGACTGACAAGAGAAGCCATAGAAATTCACCAACATAGAAATAACATCAACAGAGAAGATGGCTGGGAGCTTAGCAGAACATGATAATTAGCGTTAATTAATTATTAATCAGTTTTCCGACTTATATATTGTACCCGATTTTCGATTTCGTCACTTCAAACCAGTTTCTGAAGAAGGTTGCAACATGGCATCCGAAACGTCAAACCTTTTCTTAAAAGACGCACGGCAAAATCCGAAAGTTTCTAGTTTTAGTTCAATGGCGTGAAATGAGTTTCTCATCTAGTTTCATCTAGTTTATATAAAAGTCCTGTGTGCCGGAAAGTGTTGAATGAAGTTATTACACCGAGATCTTCTTTGAGACATCCAAGAACAGCCTGATTTCAAGTGTGCCACAAAAAACTTCGAGAGATTGTCGGTTTGTTTCTTGAAAGTTGTGGTAGCTAGGTCGAAATTGGATATCGTTCATATGGCTTACTATACATAATATCTTTGTGTAAATTTCTGTTGGTTCTCACACCGCATGTTGAACCTTTTCAGTTTTATCGCCATCTTTGATTGTAGCTCTCTGATTGCCTGGATATAGTTTTTTTTTTGTATAGGTTTTATCCCATTCGGTGCAAACGATGAGAATAACGTTGTTGTAATTCAGGTTTCGTAATATATTGCCTATTAGGCTTTGCCAGGTTGATTATTTCTTATTATAAACGCCAAAGGATGTAAACAGAAATTTGTACAGGCCAAAGGGTGCGGTTATTGCGGTTTTTTGAATGTTTGTCGAATGATGTTAATCGATGGACGAGAAATGGATTTTCTTCTCATGGAAGAATTACGAGAAGTCCCGCATATGTGATATGGAATGTTTGTCCAGCACCATTTCTGCATTCAATCATTGAATATATCAGTAAACTACATGCAAGTAAAAGAGGCATGGGATATGAATTCTGACCACCTACTGACGCTTAGTGACTCAGTCATACAAAAGCAAAATTCACCTGGTATTGTTAACAGACAAACAGATTGGCCAAGTTTCCAAATCATCTCAGAAGACAAAATTAACATCGTAGTTAGACTTAAATCCAAAGAACAGCTTGATAAGGATATCGCGTTGCTGGTTAACTGTACCCAACAGGCAGTATGGGACAGTACCCCTAAATTAAATGCAAGAACAAAGGGCATCAACTACCCTAAGGATATAAGAAATCTAATTCGAGAAAAGCGCAATCTTAGACATAAATGGCACCAAACTAGAGCTCCAAAAGATAAAACTAGATTGAATAATGCCAGCCAACAGTTGAAAAGGATTATCAATAATTTCAAGAATAATGCTCTAAACGGGTACCTAAATGAATTGATGAACGACAAATCTACGGATTACTCACTATAGAAAGCGACCAAAAGACTACAGAGACCAATCACCCAAAATCCACCAATTGGAAATAAAGATGGAAGCTGGGTTAGAAATAATGAGCAAAAAGCAAATAGATTTGCTTCCTAGCAAACACATTTAAAACCAACGCATGAGAAGAGCAGGCTGACAATACAAAATCAGGATACTGTGGAAATAACCTTCACTACTCCAAGGGAGAGAGCCACTGTAATCAAAGAAAATATCGACCCGAAGAAAGCTCCTTGTTTTGACCTAATTACAGGCGAAATGTTAAAACATTTACCAAGGAAAGCTATAGTCAAACTGACATATATTATCAATGCAGCCTTCAGACTGAAGTATGTGCCTACCCTGTGGAACGTTGCTGAGGTCATAATGATCCCTAAACCGGGGAATCCACCAAACGAAGTTTCGTCACAGACCAATATCGCTATTACCAGTAATACCAAAATTATTTGAGAAAATACTATTAAAAAGACTAAATCTTACACTTGAGGAAAAAAATTTTATACCATCACATCAATCTGGATTAAGAGAGGGACACTCCACCATAGACTAGATACATAGGATAACTGACGTCATAGAAAAATCGATAGAGAGAAGGAAAGTCTTCTGTCTTCTTGGATTTGGCTGAGGCATTTGATAAAGTTTGATATGAGGGACTCAAATACAAACTGAACAAACGCTTGCCCAAACAGTCTGCGGAACTGCTAGACTCGTATATATCAGAACGAACCTTTAGAATAAAGCAAGAAGATGCTTATTCAGATTTAAAAGAAATTAATGCAGGCGTGCCACAAGGAAGTGTACTTGGACCAGTCCTAAATTAGAAAACAATACTGCTGCTACTTTTGCTGATAACGCGGCCATCTTGGCCATAGGCAATAATCATGAAGAAGCAGCAAATAGACTACAGACATCAATTAATAAAATTAATACTGGACCAAAAAATGGAGAATTACTTTAAATAAGAATAAATCGGTACATGATAATTTTACAAACAAAAGGGTAGAACCAATCAGAGTAGATGATAAACAGATACCATATGCGAACACAGCAAAATATCTGGAATTAACGCAAAACTTCGCTGGAAGGCTCATATCAAAAAGAAACGAGAAGATCAGGTATAAGAAAATGTATTAGCTGTCAACATATAATAAATTACTTATGTATAAACGGATCCTGAAACCGATATGGACATATGGGATTCAACTATGGGAATATGTCAGCGAAACCAACACCCAAATCAGCCAGAGATTCCAGAATAAAGTGTTAAGGAACATCGTTTATGCACCCTGGTACTTTTAAATTAGTAACATCCACCGTGACCTGGAGATGGACACTGTCAGCCAGACGATCAACAAATTTGCCAAAAATCATGAACAGTGGCTCTTAGACCACGTGAATATTGAGCTCCTCGACAACTCCACCCAGACGAGAAGACTCACGAGAGCGAAATCTTTTGAGCTAGTTGTTTGAGTGCTTAATGTAAAAGTAAAGCATAGTGCGAGATTATGCATGTTTAGTGCTGGTGTTTATTTTTATTAGTACAATCTAAGGAACTTCTATTGAATAAGACCCCTAGTTTTAAGATACTTGTAGTAAATTAGGTTGGAATAAAATAACAGATAACAATAATAATGAAACCTTAGAGTTTTATAAAAAAAATATGTATTTATGATAATTTTACCCATCCACTGCTTTTCCTTACATCTGCAAATAACGTCAGTATTTCAATAATAGAAACAATTCGGATGACGACAAAAGGCCGATGCAAAAGAAGACAACAGAAGAAATGTTCGCTGTATGAAGGTGTCTAGAGGAAATTTAAATAATAACTGAAAGTCTGTAAATTAAATTTTAGCGTTGATTCAAAGTAGTCTCAATTCTGGTTATACCTTGTACACTGAAAATTGGTGTACAAGTCCAATATTATATGATCATCTGCATATGCACAGTACTAACGCGTGTCAAAGCTAATCCATTTTTGGCGAACTAAATAAACATACAACTGCGAACTTTTCAACACATATTTATTCATACTTAGAAGTTTTTGCAACCCGAAATCATCGCTCATCACGGCAACATACCCGCTAATTTAATTTGAATCTTATCAGAGAGAAAAGCATTGTAATTTGGAAAGTATAAACTAGTTTTTGAACTAGGATTATTAAAAAATATTGGAAGGTAAAGTTTTGGCATCATGTTGAACATTTTTTGTAAATTATGGTGTTTCTTACAACTTGCTAGTTCGCAAAGTGCCTACATGAGTGCTGAATAAGTGGTCCAAATTTGAAAAGAATTACACCTTTAAGAGAAACACCTTTAAATATTTATGTGGTTGGGGTTCAAGCAGCTATAGGGTCTTTTCAACGCTGTAATTTCCGAATGACTCCGAAAATCAGACAATCACTTAACCCACATATTCCACACTGTATTTGGATGCAATTTATATAACGATTTTTTCCAGTCACACGGGATATACATTTTGTCATTTGAGATGAGAAATATTTCCTTATGAATGAACTAAAAATGGTCTTGTTTAGTGTTTGCTAATATTATTAATATAAATAACTTGACGCACATAAAAATCTATGAAGGTTACCACAACAAAAAAAAAGGTGTTCTATTTACATCTTCTAGCAACTTAAATTAGCACTTAAACATGTTTAAAAATATTCTTAAAACAACAAAAACTACTAAGTATCTCAAAATCTATTTTTATTTCATTAAAATCAAATTCTTACCTTGCAACTAAAGACATAGCAACAGGAAACGGTTTCATGTCTCCATTTCCGGTTAAATATTCTCTTAAATTCTGTACTTCGCCGGTTTTGCAATATCTTCCCCTGCATCCATAATATAATCCTGTCAAGGCTGAAAGTACCAACATAGCCGCAAAAACCGCATAATCAAAAACGTCGAAGTGAAACTTATTAACGTTGCTGATGAGAACCTCTTCCACCATTCTTGAGCTGTTCTTTTTTAGTTTTACTTTTTAATGTAATTTTTTTTAAGTGCGCTTCAACTTGTAGAGTAAATAGAAAATGGAAAATTCGTCGTCCAACTTCTATATAAACCCGTTCGGGTTAACACGTTGACGCAATCGCCGAACGAAATGAACCAGCAACAATCAACAGTTTGCTTCGCGATTTATTATAAACATATAACACAATGGATTTTCTTAATGGAAATTTCCATTTAATTTTAAATTATTAATTCGGTAGTTTATTTTTTCCTTTTTGAATAAAATTTAAATTCATGTCATGAAGTAAACCTGATAAAACAAACAAAAATAAATAAATAAAGCGAAATTACTTACTTTTATTGCGTGCAAAGTATAGAAACCTTTTAAGACTGATTTAAACCATTTAAACGGTTTGATCACGATAGATTATGATGACGAAGCGTTTTTGTGTAAGCGACGAATGCGTATAATAATATGAAGAATTGGCGAAAAAAGAATTAATTTGAATATTTTTTAATAGGTGAGACAACGAATGCACATGTGGTTATCACTAAAAACGAAATAATTTAAATTTGATAAAGTGAGTAATAACTATATTATTCTGATTAAATATTTCGATGTGTGTTAGACAATTATTAATAAAAATGTTTTTAAAATCAGTCATGCTTTAATTTTATTTCAAATGTTTTTATCGTGTTATATGAATGAATTAAATAGAAATGTTAGTTGGATATAAAAAATTAGTTGGAAAAATAATCATTACCATTAGAGTAACTTGAGATAAAGCTTATCATTGTTTATAAAATAACTATTTTATATATAAACTTTAAATTCATTCTAAAAATTTCTTAGCAATATAATTCTTGTGTTTTAAAATATTTTTTTAAGGATTCATTTACAAAAGAAGTTTCGAAGTATTATCAAGATTGTTTGACAAAGTTTAACGATAGATTTCTAATGATCTATTTACTAAAGCAATAATACTTTTAATATTACGTATAACATAATGTGTGATCGATTGCTTAATACCACTTATGAAAGATATCGTTTCTGTGAATCGGAAACGTAAACTTGGATGAGATCGCGTGGCCAAATAACGTAATGATAAAAAGCGAAATGCACATCTAACAGATCAAATTTGTAACGAATGCAATTGTGTTGCAGACATTTTAGTTTATTATACATATAGCGAGAACAATAACTTTGGATTAGAGTGTAAGGAACATTATAACAAATAGTAGAAGAAAGAAAACAACAGATAAAGGTTTGTGGAAGTAAAAGTTAACTCTTTTGCCCAGATATCTAATGACCCTAAAAAGTAAAAAAAACATCCATTTTCAAAAAATTGATTTTTTTTTAATAATGAACATCGCAAAAACATTTCAAAGTCAAATAGTTTTATCATTTCAAATAGTTTTAGAATGACAGCCTTCTAAAGTACGCTGCGTAATCGCTCGCAAATCAGAAACACAGCTGTGCAACTCGTCCATTATTTACGAAGCAAAAATTCTGAGAAATCAGGTAAGAATTAAGTACGCTTTTCGGAAATATCCGACTGTGCCGTGCAGTGTGTAAGATGAGAGATAAGACTAACTCATCCAGAAAAGATATGATGACAAAAGATAAGAATTTAGACAAAAAGAAAAAACTGTTTGCAATGAAGGGAACAAGAAGATGGAATAGAAGAAGTATGGGAGATACTAAGAGACACCTCAAATTCAAGACACTATAGGTAGGTTACCATAAAAAATCACGAATTAATTGGTATGATAATGACTCTATAAAAGTAATGAAAAGAAAGAATGCTACAAGAAGAAAATAACTTTAACAAAACACAAGATTGAACAGAGCTGAATATGAGGAATATCGAAAAGAAGCCAACAAAACCTCGACATGGCGAAGCATGGACCAAGTCAATGGAGATGTAACAAATTAAGAGTCTTTGAAAGTAGATCTTGCCCAAAATATATGGACCGTTACGAAATGGTGTTGGAATGTGGAGAATAAGAATGAAACACATAATGGTGCACATAAAGCACAGAGAATAAAATGACTAGAACATCTGGAAAAGATTTAGGGAAACAGAAGAGTGAAGAGAATTGTAGAATAGACACCACAAGGACGGAGACTTAAAGGAGGACGAAGGAAAAAATGGAATGATGATGTTTCACAGATCAGTATGGGCAACATATTGTCAAGCAAGCCAAACTCTAGATATAATTGTAGTGTTAAACGATGGGAGGATGATTTTTTTTTTGTTTTGCTTTTATAAACCAGATCAACATAATAAATAATTATATACATATGTTCTACAGGTTGTTTTAGTATCTATTCATAACATTTTTAATTCGTTAGAAGGCGATTGACCCTTCGAATTTATTTAATTTATATTATTCAGGTAGATGAGTATCTTGCGGTAGCTGACGTTTTAGTCGAGTGTGTAAATTTCGTATATTCAGATTGTATTCTCTTGCGGAACTACAAAATTGGATTTTTTGAAAGAAAGTTGTAGTTGTCCTATGTATAAAATTCTCAATCGGCTCTATACTTAAGTCGTTTCTTATTTGTTCATTTCGAACAAACCAGGGTGCATCTACTGCTATTCTAATGACTTTGTTTTGTAACGATTCTTAATATTTGTTTTTGATGTATTGCTTCACACCGGGCTAACATAAGTGATTAGTGAGCGGATTAGTGATTTATATAGTAATATCGTGTAGTTGGTTTTTAAGTTTGATTTTATAAGTGGATATAATTTAAGTAATCTGTTGTACTCTTGATTTAGTGTGTAGTTGATATATATACTCTACTTTTATGTGATGCAGCTTGTATTTCAAACCTTCTAACCACACACTATCGAATGCTTTTGCTACATCTATAAAATTGAATATGATTTCAGAAATCCAAATTGGAAACTAGGCAAGATCTTTAGATCGTCAATTATGTCTGATAGCCTGGTATGAATAATTTTTTCCAATATTTTGGAAAGAGAAGGTAATAGGCTTATTGGTCTGTAGTTTTGATATCCGTTTTTATATTTTCCCGTTTTTGAAAACATCAGTACTTCCCCTTTCTTCCATGCTATTTGGAAGTAGCCTAAATTAAGGCTGATATTATAGATGTAGCATATTTGGTTGACTGTCGATTCTGGAAGGTTTTTCAGTACTATATTGGGTATTAAATCGTGTCCTGGAGCTTATTTCTGTGATGTCATTTTCCTCCAGGTTTAAATTTGGTTGCCGGTATCCACATATAATTGTATTTTCTTTACGATTGTCTAAATATATTTTGATTGCCACTGTTTCCATGCTAATCGTTTTTGTTAGTTTTTGATTATGTGCTATACCTCTTTTTATTAAAATTGCAACTCCTCCCGCTGCAGTTCTGGAATGTCTATCTGTTCGGAAACAGTTATAACCTGTTATTCTCAATAATGAAAATCAAAAATAACCTCTTACTTGCTTTTTATTATATGCTTCGATACTAGTTTCGAGGTATTACCTCATCTTCAGTCGAAAACTACAAGAATTTTTATAATTAGGAAAAATAAAAATGTTAAAACAAAAAACTTACAGTCAAAAAATAATAAAGATGTTCACAATTGAGAAAAACATTACCAAAATATTATCAGAAAATTTTTAAACATGTTGAAAACGGAGAAAATTTTAATGCGCAGTAAAAATAATTTGAAGGTCAAAAGGTAAAACGTGGTTGAAGACCAAAAAATCTATTTATAAGAGGTTAAATCGAAAATATAAAGCGGTTAACACTAAAAAACAAAATAAAAATATAAAATTTTTTATATTTTACAAATTATTTTTACTGCGCATTAAAATTTTCTCCGTTTTCAACATGTTCAAAAATTTTCCGATAATATTTTGGTAATGTTTTTCTCAATTGTGAACATCTGTATTATTTTTTGACTGTAAGTTTTTTGTTTTAACATTTTTATTTTTCCTAATTATAAAAATTCTTGTAGTTTTCGACTGAAGATGAGGTAATACCTCGAAACCAGTATCGAAGCATATAATAAAAAGCAAGTAAGAGGTTATTTTTGATTTTCATTATTTAAATACACCTTGCAACATGGATAATTACAACATTAATGTTATTCTCAAGTCTTCTCCTGGCGCTAGATGGGTTTCTGTTATGCAAGCGATATCGATATTGTACAAGTGTATAAAAGCTATTACACACCATCTTTGTTTCTTAATTCCATTGGCATTGAAGTTTAGGATATTGATGTTTGTTAAATTCTGTAAAGTTTTAGGAGGCATAGATAATTGTTGGGAGTATTTCGCTGAGAAAATAAGATTTGATTTGTGTGAGCAAGGGAGTAATGATTTTTTTGATGAAGTTCATGATGGATGATACAATTGGAGGAATTTCTGAAGAAGATACATTTTGTGTTTGGGAATTCATGTTATTGTGTTGGGCTTGACAGTTATTATACGTGGTTTGGGCATATGTCGAGTTAGGATTTATTGGGCGATATGATGAGAATTGCTGGGAATTGTGTGTGCTTCGTCTTACTTGTCGTGTCTTCTGATGTTGTAAATCGGTATGAACCTTACATCCTCTGTAATTAGCAGGATAAGCTTCTCTCATCCTGCTAATCACTTTTCCTTTTCTTGCATTGGGCGTGATTGTGTTCTTCACCACATTTAACACATTTTTGTTTAAGTGAACAATAACTTTTTGTGTGCCCATAACGTTGAGGTATGACTCACTGTAATGATGGCTTTGTTTATTTCTTTAATATTAAATATTTCTTTGGCTTTCTCCGTTGGCGTAATTCTACTGCACATAGTGGAATTGGATTTTTAGTTTTATTTAATAGTCTTGTCACAATTTTTATAGGCAACTCTTTGCTGAGTAATTCTTCTTTGATTTCGCTCTCTGTGATTGATATCGGGACATTATACAGTACTACCGCGAGCGTTTTCTTTGAAGCATCTTGATAAGTATGGAATTCTAACTTATTTTCTGTGTAATATTTAGTTAGAGTTCTATAGTCGTCGATTGATGTTAAATTAATCATTAATGCGTTATTTTTAAGTGTTGTTGTAAAACTAGTGGAAGTTAAAAATTTGATGTCATTTATTATTTCTTTATGGTTTTTGGTATTATGTAAAAATATGGGTGGAATTTTAGATCCCTTTTCTGTTTGCGAGGTAGGATTATCATTATTGTCGTTATCTGGATTACTGTTTCATTATTTAGTACATAGTACCTGTTTTGTGACAATATTTCTTCCGGTTTCCAAGAGTAGGGTTTGTGGATATATTCTGCTAATGGTGATAGATGAT